AAGAATGAGATGGGGTATTTTTTTTAATGGTCGATAAAAATTAAATTTTTAATTAATTTAATTTAAATGTTAAGATTTAAAACTGAACCACTAAATTTAAAAATTTGGTCCTTAGCTTCATCTCTTTTAAAAAAAATTCTTGTTTGAGTTTATATTATATTGAATTATATATTTTTTATTTAATAATATATATTTTATAATTTGATATAATTTAAATAATAAAATAAAATAAAATAATTTTATTTTGATGTTTCAAATAACTCAATAAATAATATTTTATAATTAATAGTGTTGAAAATATAAATAATAAAAAATATCAATTATTAAATATTTATTGTTCATTATAGGTCGTTTGAATCAATAATTTGTTAGTCCAAGTGAAAGGTATTTGGTTTTCTTTAAATAAAATCTCGAGTTCGAATCTTGTGAATGAAAAAATAAGTGCTGAAAGAGTTTTCACCTAATAGATCTGATGTGATTACTGAATACTGGGAGGTTAATATCAAAATTATAAGCCGTTTGAAGTAACTAAATCAAATAAAGTCTTAGTTTTTATCATATCCCCATTGAGTATTTCACTATTTCTTCTAGTTCAGTTGGAATGTTTAAAAGTAACATCTCTACTTGTTCCGCACGCATGGCCGAGTGGATTTCCCGATTGGCTTTAGTGATAACATACTCCTGGGTTAGGAGTTCGACTCCCGATGAAATCCCTTCCTCATTTATCCTTAATATGATAGCTTCAATTATAATTCGTTCAAAAAAAATAATATTTGTATTTAAATATTAAATTTTTATTTTTAAATAAAATATTATGTAAAAAGTTTATAAAAATTACTGTCTAATGAATCTTAAAGCCTTTATTATGGCCAAGATTTTAATGCACTTTTGTTCATATAGAACGAGCTATAAGTGCTTTTTGTGTTTATGATCATTAAAATTGCACTAAGATTGTTATAAAATATTACAATTATAATTTTAAAATATTTTATTATTATTAAAAGAGTAATAACATTAGCTTATTAAAAGTGTAATGGTATTAATTTATTTACAATTTGAGACGAAAGAATTCTAATCTCAAACTCTAAAATTAAGGGGTTCAGCTTTCAATTAGACATAAAACGATTACAGCACGATAAGGATGGTGATTTTCCTTGATCCCCGTGGGGTCCCGTGGGAATCCTCGTCACGGGGACGAGGTGAGGAGGAATATTCCTCCTCACGAGGCGGGGATGGGTAGCATTTTCTCCTCGTAAAATTTCGTGAGGAATTTTCCCCGCCCCATGGGACCCCGCGGGAATCCCATCCCCGCAAAAATTAAAATAAATATAAATTAATTTTATTTTAAATTTAATTCATTTTTCAAACTCTAATCCAAATCCAAACTCAAACA